AAATGGAATGATGCAATTGGTTTAAGACCCACCTCGCCTCAAAAAAAACCTTCTCCAACAAGCAAATATTGTTGAAGAAGGCACTATTGATGCAACTATATTAAAATAAATAGTCGTCGGATATCTCCAGATGTTTACAAATGGGTATTATTTGTAGAAACCTTCTTGACCAAGTTTCTTTACCAACATGTAGTAAAATACAGCGCGATACTTGCTTTTGTTTGAAGAACCCATTTCAGAACAAACTTCTTCGATAGCCTTATCTAATGCAGGGCTATCGCTAAGACCCAATTTCCCAATCAAAAAACGCTCCTTCACACGATCTCTTTCTGCTTTATCAGAACAAGAAACTTTTGAAGCGTCTTCAAGGTAAATTGATGGGCCAAGACCTTTGGTTACTTTCATGAAAAGTTCTTCATTGACATCCTTTACGTAGGCTGACATAGCTGTTTTGTAAAGTTCAATTTTCTCAGCAAATTTACTCATAATTAAAAGTTTTATATTTTAATGTTAAAAATTAATACAAAGGTAAGACCTTTCCACCTATATCCATAACATACGTATAGAAATATACATATAAAATTAATCGTAAATTAATAAACATTACTTTACGCCATGCATCAACCGCTTCATGAGCGGAGTCAATGCGATTACAAGAATACCCCCAATAATAGGCACAACTGTGAATATCATAAAGAAAGTACTCATATCATACTTTGCTGTAATCTCATCTATCATTCCACCCATAGCACCTGCTACTTTATTGGCGATAGCGATAGAGAGGTACCAAATACCAAACATCAAAGCAATCATACGACCAGGCACTAACTTACTCACATAAGATAAGCCCACTGGAGAAATGCACAACTCTCCCATGGTGTGGAAGAAATAGGCAATTATCAACCAAATAATACTCACACTTGCTGTTTTAGCGCCAGCAGGTATGCCATTGGAGCCATATGACAAAGCATAAAAGCCAATGCCCAATAGGAATAGTCCTATGCCATATTTTACAGTTCCTGAAGGATTGAAACGACTTTCCCAAAGCTTTGAGAACATCGGAGAAAAGGCAATAATAAAAAACGAGTTCAAGATTCCGAACCATGAAGCCGCAATTTCTGCGCCGGGATCGGAGAACTCCTGCTTCAACATCCAAAGTACAATACCCCAAATAACCACAAAACTTGATGCTAGAATAATATTTGATAGGGAGTATTTTGCAAACGTCTGCACAAATAGTTTATACAACACCCAAGTAATAATTAGCAGCGGCACCACCGTCAATAATGTATTGATTAATTTGAACGAGGTTGCAGCGCCACCCACCAAAGCTCTGTTGGTATAGTCGGCTGCAAATATGGTCATAGAACCACCGGCTTGCTCAAATGCCATCCAAAACATCATGTAAAAGACAGCAAAAATCAACACTGCTATCATACGGTCGCGTGTTACAGCAGAATAGCGCACTATCCTTATCAACAAAGTAGCAATGAATAATACCAAGGCAACTACCAATGACATATTGGCATTGTTTGCATTGCCAAACATGTTCACACCCGATACTTTCGAAAGCGGGTCGTTTACCACCCAAACCACAGCAATAATAGCCGTAATTGCAATCAAAGCCAAATCAAGTGGGCGGAACGGATTGAGCTTATCCCCATTTTCATCAAATTGCTCTGTAGAAGCTGCCTTATTGCCTGAAGATACTTCTTTTATTGGCGTTTTGCCTACTTCTCCAAAAATATCTTGTGCAAAATAGAACTGCAACATACCGAGCAACATAAATACTCCTGCCAAACCAAATCCTAAAATAAAGCTTACTTTTTCGCCCAAATAACCGCACAACATCATACCTAAGAATGCGCCTGCATTTACGCCCATATAGAAAATGGAAAACGCACCATCTTTCTTCTCAGGATGATTCTTATACATATGTGATACAATAGAAGTCATGTTTGGCTTGAAAAAACCATTACCAATTATCAAAAAAGCAATACCTACATACAGCAAAATGGGCATATTCAGCCATACACAAGCCGCCATACATATTTGCCCAAAGGTCATTAGCAACGCTCCTATCACAACAGCCCTTCGATAACCAATTATCTTATCGGCTATATATCCACCCAATATCGGCGTCAAATATACCATAGAAGTGTAAGTGCCATAAAGTGCCAAGGCGTGCTCACGCGGCCAACCCCAGCCTCCATTATCACCTATAAGTGATTTGGTAAGAAAAATAACCAAAATAGCCCTCATCCCATAATAACTGAATCGCTCCCACATTTCCGTGAAGAACAACACAAACAAACCTGGTGGATGACCAATTACATTGGATTTAAATAAATCATCGTTAGTTGTAGTTGCCATATAACTGTTTAAGTGTTAAAGATATTAGATGTTCTTTACTATTTTACTTCTTGCATCAGCTTTCTGATGAGCGGCGATATCAATATAAGTATGGCACCTGCCACAAATGCATAGAATGCCAATTGATAATAACCCTGCGTATAAGACTGCAATTTCACCATCAGTGAAGCATTGGGGTCGGGAGAGGACATGCCTGCACCCAACAAACCTGCCGCATACTGACCATAAGCGCTGCCTAAAAACCAAAGCCCCATCATCATACCGCCTAATCGCGAAGGCGACAACTTAGTAATAATTGAAAGTCCTATGGGAGACAAGAACAACTCTGCAATTGTCAGTACAAAATATGCCGAAGTAAATATTTCTAAGGAGGTGATTCCCTCAATATTGGCAAAGTGCTTGGTGCTATAAAACACATAAAAACCAGCTCCAAGCAGCAAAAAAGCCAAACCAAATTTAATCACGGTGTTGGGCTCCATCTTTCGCTTTGCTAATGCCAACCACAATAGGCCTATAATTGGACTAAAAATGATTACAAAAAGCGAATTGGAAGTATTATTGACCACATTGGGATCGATATTAAAGCCTAAAAGGTTGTGATGCAAGTTTTTCTCAGCAAATAATGACAATGAACCCCCACTTTGCTCGAAAAATGCCCAGAAAATAATCGAAAACAATATGAATATCATGGCTGCAAATAGCTTATTGCGTGTGCCACTATCAGGTATTTGGAAAGTTTCATAGAGAAAATACAACAAAGCCAAGGGGCCCACGGTGTACATAAACATATCGGTATAATCCGTGTTTCTTATCATAATATTGATGAGTGGGATAGACAAAAAGGCACCGGCATACACCGCTATTTCCTTCATTTGTCGCTTGGATGGATCTTCGCCTACCAAAGGAGAGTCGCCTATAGGACCAAGATGCTTCTTAATAGCTATAAATGTTATCAAACCTATCACCATTACAATAGCAGCCGCCAAAAAAGCATAACTCCATGAATAGTTTTTACCCAGCCACACACAGAGTCCACCGCCCAAAAGTGCGCCGATATTAATACCCGAATAGAAAAGCCCAAAGCCCGCATCTCTACGAGGATCGCCTTCGTGGTACAACTCGCCTACCATACTCGATATATTGGGCTTGAAGAATCCTGTACCAATTATCGATAGCGTAATACCCATAAAAAACAGGTTTTGTGGCGAAAACGCAATCATGAGGTTGCCCGCAATCATCACCAATGCGCCAAATATCAGCGACTTCTTGAAACCAAGTATCTTGTCGGCAAAAATGCCCCCGATAAAAGTAAAAGCATACACAAATGCCTGAATAGCACCGTATTTTAGGTTAGATTCTTTGTCGGTGAAGCCCAATTGGCTCACCATAAACAATGCCAAAACGCCACGCATACCATAAAAACAGAATCGCTCCCACATTTCTACTAAGAATAAATACCACAACTGCTTGGGATATTTACCGGTGAAACTCCGGATGGATTCTAAAGTAGGCGCATTGGTTGTAGATTGGCTCATACAGTACTTTTTGTTTGATAAAGATGATGTTTTTAAATTAGTTCGTTTGGAATACGAGGCAATTATAAGTCAAGTTTCTGGAAGTTTCACCTTTCCTTGGCAAAAAAACTCAACTTTGCGCTAAAACTTTCTAATTATTGCCGTTATTGCTTCATTTATTGCGAATTACTTGGTGCTTTAGGTGTGTTTTTTTGCCACATAAGCACACCATAGCCATAAGGTATAAGTTACACTTTAAAGACCAAATAGTGTGTCATGCCGATAGCAACTGTTACTTGAGTGTGCTTCAGATGCTTTCAACATGACACAAAACCCTTAACATAATGACAATGTGGCGTGCCCCAAAAACCGGCTCTAGGCTGATGGGGAAATTTTGGCGGAGTAGCTAGCCGGTTTTGGGTCGGGCTATCCGCTGCTGCCGATAAAAAAACGCCCTCGGGCTTGTAGCGGACGCTTTTGCGTTCCTTCATGGCGTTTTTTATCGGCATACGCTTCTATCCCTCACGCACAATGGTCATTGACTTAAGAAATTTTGAATACGTGAATGCAGAATACATGAATTCAGAAGTTTTTTTGCTGACGGTGTAGCTTTTACCTTACGGCTTTCTTCATTTGAAGAGACATTTGACTCATTTAATGAAGGAAAGACCCAGAAAATCATATTTTTTTGAGCGCAGCGAAAAAAGAATCATACCTACACGCAATGAGAAAAAATCATAGTAATCATAGGCTTCATAAAAATCATTATCCCATCATACGCAATTGGGAAGGCTTAAGTCAATGACCTCGCGCGTGAGGGATAGCAACGGAAATAGCCCTTTTTGTGCCTTTTTCATAAAATTACCCACAAAAACTGAGCCGTTGCGGTACAGCATCACTTCTCGGAAGACCCGAGAGCGAAGTGAAAAAAGGCACAAAAAGGGCTATTGCAGTGGATAGCCCGACCCCGAAACCGCCTTCCACACTGACTAATCTACTCGATAAACCCTAGGGCGGTTTTCGGGGACACGCCAAAAGTATAATTGACAATGGAAAATTGACAATTGATAATTCTGGAGGAGGTTCGACGTCAAAATTTTAACTACCTAATTGCTATTTCTTCACCTTTTTCACCAAACTAATCGCACACCCACCACCTTTAGCAAGTTGGAGCGTCATTTTGGTGCCTTTTTTCACTTCGATGATGCGAATATTGACCGGATATGGGTTGGTTTCCCAATCGGCGCCAGAGCCATCTTCGTAGATCGTGGCGGTGTAGGTAGCATTTTTATCCAAAAAATCAAGCGTAATTGATATGTCGCGTGCGTCTTCATCGGTGATAGCGCCTATGTACCAGCTATCGGACTTTTTGCTCTTGCGCGCAAAGGTAATGTGGTCGCCCACCGCAGCGGTCAGTACGTGCGATTCGGACCAATCTGCGGGCACTTCGCGGATAAATTGGAAGACATCGGGGCGTTTTTCGTAGTTGTCGAGGAGGTCGGCAGCCATCTGTATGGGCGAATAGAGCGTGACATAGAGGGCGAGCTGCTTGGCGACGGTGGTGTGCACGACCTCGGTCTTTTTGGGGTCGTAGGTGCTCATGCGCGTCTCGAAAATGCCGGGCGTGTAGTCAAAACCGCCTCCAAGTATGCGTGTGAAAGGCAAAATAGTCTCGTGCTCGGGGAGGTTGCCCTTGCTCCAGGCGTTGAACTCCTGCCCGCGTGAGGCTTCGCAAGCCACGTAATTGGGGTAGGTGCGCGCAAGTCCGGTAGGTCGTACAGATTCGTGGGAATTGACCATAATTTTGAATTTTGCGGCGGTTTCGGCTACGCGAGCGTAGTGATTATTCATCCATTGTCCATCGTGCCATTCGCCACGCGGTATTATTTTGCCTACGTATCCGGTTTTTACAGCGGGCATTTTGTGCTTATTCATGAAGCGGAAGGCATCTTCCATCTGGCTTTCGTAGTTGGGTACAGCGGCTGAGGTCTCGTGGTGCATGATGATTTTCACACCTTTTTCGGCGGCGTACTTGGAGAGATAGTCGATGTCGTAGTCCGGATAAGGCTTTGTGAAGCTAAAAACCGAGTCTATTTGCTTGCCAAACCAGTCTTCCCAGCCGGTGTTCCAGCCTTCTATGAGTACCCCATCAAAGCCATTTTTGGCAGCAAAATCGATGTGGCGTTTGGCATTGGCAGTAGTGGCGCCGTGCTTGCCGTGGGGTTTATTGGCGGTGGTGGTATTGGTGGCATCTTGGCTACCGGAAAAGTCCCAAGTGGACTTACCTACGTGCATTTCCCACCATATTCCTACGTATTTCATGGGTTTTATCCAACTTACATCGCGTATTTTGGAGGGGTCGTTGAGGTTGTAGATGAGCTTGGAGGCTGCGATACCTGCTGCATCTTTGCTGATGATGATGGCGCGCCAAGGCGTGTTGAAGGGGAGTTTGTTGGTGCTTTTGACGGCTGGAATGGGCGAAGGGATGAGCGCGGCGGAGAAACGCAAGGCGGCGGGGTCTATTTTGAGTTGCATAGCCGGAAAATCGATGCATCCGGCTTCGTGAATGGTGAGGTGCACATCGTTGGCTTGGCGCATTGTGATGGGCGTTTGGCACGACAATAACTCCACGATATGTTGCGTGTAGATACTTTTTTCATTTTCGTTGTAGGGGGCACCATTTATTTCGCTGACTTTGGAGGTGGTATAGCAGTGTTCGTTGCTATCGTAGTCGCCGGGTATCCACCAAGCGGTATGGTCGGCAGTCATTTGAAATTCGGTGAGTTCGTCGGTGACGGTCATGGTGGTTTCCTTACCCGATTTGTGGAATTCGTAGCGAAAACCTAGGCCATCGTTGTGCACACGAAAGACGATATCCATCGTTTTGCCACTTTTGTGCTTAAGTTTGAAGCGGGTTTCGTTGTATTGGTTGTGCACTTTGGTGGATTCGCCTACGGGTGGCGTCCACCATTCGTCCTTTTTGGTTGGGGTGGCTGCAAGAAGGGCAAAGTCGTTTTTCCACTCGAATTCTTGTGCGCTCATGCCTAAGGCTGATGCGCCTATGACTTGTTTTTTCCGAAAATCGACGCTGTAGTGCGGCTGTCCGTTATCGTTGAGCCAAAAATTGACGGCTATTTGCTTGTCAGGTGATTTGATGTTGGTCTTTTTCTGTGCGGTTAAGGCTAGGGGAAACAGTAGGCAAAAAAATGCTACTTGCGTGAAAAGGTGTTGTATCTTCATCATTTTTGATTAATGTAATTTACTAACCACAAATGTACGTGAAGTAGTGGAAAACTCGATGTTTCACTTGCTGATTTCAACGTTTTTGCGTAATATTGCAATTATATTGACTTCCAACAATCTGGTACAATAGCGTTAAGGGTTGGGTTAGTATTGGTCATTATCAAAATTCAAACGTATGAAAACATCAACCTTAGCCTCCTCTTGTCCGTACTGCTGGCGAGTTCCCTTTATGCACAAGTCAATTTCACGTTCAAGGAATGGGAAGACCCTTCGGTGGTAGAACTGGGGAAGGAGCCGCCGCACAGTTTCTCCATGTCGTACCCCAACGAGGACGATGTATTGGAGAACAGCGGCCGGGGCGGAGCTTTTACTGAATGTATTTGCCCACCAGCGGATGTCCACGGCTTCCATTCCGGCGGGACATGAGTTGGCACGGGAGCAGTTCATAGGCGGTTCCAGTTATTTCGATAAAAAAGAGGCGGGGACGTGGTCCACACGAGAATTATGCCGACCGAAACACGGCTTCCTTCCTCGGCATCCACAACGACCATACGGACAACGGCTGGACGCGCAACTACGTGCGCCCGCAGGAAAGCGGCTACAAGACCGACACCCGCTGGATAAAACTCACCAACGCGGAAGGCATCGGTCTGCAAGTACACGGGTTGCAACCCCTGTCGTTCAGCGCCATGCCGCAGCTCACGGAGGACTTCGACGAGGGCACGACCAAGAAGAACCGCCATGTGACGGACATCGTGAAGCACCCATTCGTGACGCTACACGTGGACTTGGCGCAGCGGGGCGTGGGCGGCAACACTTCATGGGGCGCCGAGACACACGATGCTTTCCGATTGACGGAGAAGCGCTATACTTATGGGTTTGTGTTGAGGGTGGTTGGGGAGTGAATTATGGCAGCCGCCTTGAAAGTGCCCTTTTACCTTTTCACAAACGCTTAGTCATTCGGAAGGGCACTTTCAAGTCGCCGCGCTATCCGTTGCAATAGCCCTTTTCATGCCTTTTTTCGCCCTGCGCTTGGGCTAGTCGGTAGATGTTGGAGTGTGTCATCTCTACAGCCGCACGGGTTGTTTTTAGGAAAAAGGCATGAAAAGGGCTATTTTCACTTCTATCGCTGCTGCGGGGGTGGACGTGGAAATGTTTATTGTTTTTTGTCTTTTACTAGGAGTACTTGCATCTGTTAGTCTCATATAGGTTGGGATAAAATCAATAGTGCAATAGATAATTTGAAATTTTTTAAAAATATTTACTTACAAATTTGGATGTTAATAAAATTTGTGACTATATTTGCAACAATATTATAAACTGACCTTTCGCAGGTGAAAAATTTGGATATTTGAAAAATTAGATTAAAGCGCGATCTTTGCGGAATAAAGCAAAGTCATGAGCGATTACGAATTATTAGACATTTACACAGATTACTTAATCTC